ACCCCCTCACTGAATAGATCAAAGCCTCTATTCACTGAGACAGGATCTTACCGTGCAGCCCTGGCTGGCCTGGAACTCACAGAGAGCCGCCGGCCCCAGCCTCCTGAGTGCTGGGATTAAAGGCGTGCACCACCATACCCATCATCTTTATTTTATTTATGTAGGTCTATGTATGCCACGTGCGTGAAGTGCATCTCCTGGAACTGGAGCTGCAGGAAGTCGTGACCTCACCGATGTGGGTGCTTGGAAGCTCTGTGTGCTGCAGAAGCAGCTAGTGCGCTTAACCATGGAGCATAGCTCGGCCCTTTCTTTATCAGATAGTTTGTCACCACAACAGAGAAGGTAACTGACAAAGAAGAGAAGATGAGCAATTATTTTACTTTTTGGAACTGTTTAATATTTTATTTATGGTGTGTGTGTGTGTACAATGTGTGTACAAGCACACACATGTGGCAGTCATAGGACTTTTTTTTCGAGACAGGGTTTCTCTGTGTAGCCCTGGCTGTCCTGGAACTCACTCTGTAGACCAGGCTAGCCTTGAACTCAGAGATCCACTTGCCTCCACCTCCCAAGTGCTGGGATAAAAGGCACACACCACCACCCCCTGGTTTAGAGGACAACTCTCAATAGTCAGTGCTCTCCTTATACCATGGGTTCTGGGGAACCAAACCCAGGTCATCAGGCTTGGCAGCAAGCACCTTTACCTGATAATCTCTGTAGCCAGATCCTGTATTATTAGTCCTTTTTTTTTTAATTTTTATTTTCTGTTGATGAGTGTTTCGTCTGCATCTATGCAGGCATACCTTATGAGAGCCAGATGAGGGGTCAGATCCCCTGGAACTGGAGTCACAGGTAGTTGTGAGCCTCTGTGTGGGTGCTGGGAATGGAACCCAGTTCTCTGGAAGAACAACCAGTGAGTTTAACCACTGAGCCATTCCTCCAGCCCCCTGTATGAAATCTTAAAAGTTTTTGTTTTTTGTTTTTGTTTTTTTGAGACAGAGTCACACTACATAACCCCAACTGGTCTGGAACATGTTATGTAGTCCAGGCTGGCCTCAAACATGCATCAGTCCTCCTGCCTATTTCCTGGAGATTACTTGCTGGGATTACAGGTATATTCCTTTTTTAAAAAAAAAAGACTCTTTTTTTTTTTTATTCAGAGAAATGAGAAAAACCAAAATCCAAAAAAAAGCTGGGCGGTGGTGGCACATGCCTTTAATCCCAGCACTCTCAGGAGGCAGAGGCAGGGCGGATTTCTGAGTTCGAGGCCAGCCTGGTCTACAGAGTGAGTTCCAGGACAGCCAGGCCTATACAGAGAAACCCTGTCTCGAAAAACAAAAACAAAACAAAACAAAACAAAAAAAAGAAATGAATACATGGTACCTGCTTGTCCTGTGCGTCCTCCTGTAGGGGTGCGCTCTCTCTCTCTCTCTCTCTCTCTCTCTCTCTCTCTCTCTCTCTCTCTCTCTCTCAAATTACTTTATTTATGTTCACTGTAGCTGTCTTCAGACACACCAGAAGAGGGCATTACAGATGGTGGTGAGCCACCATGTGGTTGCTAGGAATTGAACTCAGGACCTCTGGAAGAGCAGTCTGTGCTCTTAACCACTGAGCCATCTTTCCAGCCCTACAGACTATACTTTCAGGGATCATTTCTATAGTTCATTACAGGTATATTCCTAAATCTTTTTTTAACATTATTTATTGGTTGTGCGCTTGTGCATATATAGAAACAAATGGACAACCTATGGGAGTCCATCCCCTCCTCTCACGGTGTGGGTTCTAGGGATCGAGTTCAGGTTGTCTGGCTTGGCAGGAAGCACTTTTATCTGCTATGCCATCTTGTCCCCAAATCCATGATTTTGGGAAGGAATTACTTATTGTTGGGCCTGGGACTATAGCTCAGTGGTGGTAGAGTACTTGTCTAATATGTATGAGATTCCAGACTCAAAAAAAATCATAGATAAAAAAAAAACAGATTAAAAAAACTTTTGAAGACTATGGCTGAGCCTGAGATGGCATACGACATTAATCCTAGAACCTCAGAGGAAGAGGCAGGCAGATGGTCCTGAATTCGAGGCCATCCTGGTGTACAAAGCAGTTCCAGGATAGCCAGGACCAAACAGAAAGAGAGGGGGAGAGAGAGAGAGAGACAGAGAGAGAGAGAGAGAGAGAGAGAGAGAGAGAGAGAGAGAGAGAGAGGATGGGAGAGACAGAGAGAGACAGAGAGAGTATATATGTGTATGTGTATATATACACATATACGTATATGTATATAGTGCGTTCTCTCTCTCTCTCTCTCTCTCTCTCTCTCTCTCTCTCTCACACACACACACACACACACACACACACACCACATCACACATCACAGAAATGCAAGCGGGTCTCCCATCTGGCTTCTCCTGGAGTGTATAACTGCTCTGTCACAGGCCCCTTGGTGTTCCAGGAGCCTTCTTGGGAGGTTTCCTGTGCATCTCAGAAGCAGCTTGAGCAAGGACTGAGGGCAGACTGGGCAACGTGCACAGGTGCAATCCCAGCATGGGGAAGGTGGAGGTGGATGCAGAGGATCAGGAGTGCACAGTCATCCTTAGCTACATAACATCTGAGGCTAGCCTGGGCTACATGAGACTGTCCAACGTGTGTGTGTATATGTGTGTGTGTGTATGGCTCAGCCAGTAAAGATGATTGCTTCCAAGTCTGACAACTTGAGTTTGGTCCCCAGAATTCACCTGGTGGGAGGAGAGAAGCAACTCCCAGAAGCTGTCCTTTGATCTCCACACTCGTCCATGGCATGTGCATGCCAATACATACCAGAAAAAACTACAAAAAAATATTTGGGTTGCTTTGAGTGTTTTTAAACATTTTTATTATATTTATTGTGTGTGTGTGTGTGTGTGTGTGTGAACGGAAGGAGCAGGGCAGAGGCTGGTTCATGGCCCTCTCAGCTACGCAGATCTCTCCTTGTCAATAGTGTCTAGCCTCAGGAAAGGCCATGTCCTCACTTGGGCCAGTGCCTGGCCCTCTGGAGGCCATAGCTCCTTTTCTCTTTGGAGCTCTCCTCCCTGCCCCGTAGCAGGCTGCCCTGTCTTGTTCCCTTCCCACAGCTACCTTCATTCCAGTGGGCTCTGAGCTCCTGGGAGAAAAGGAAGATCCAAACTTTGCCTGGGCTGTGGCGGCTCAGCCAGGAGGCAGCCACAGTTAACTGCTGACCGTGTGCCTGGGACAAACACCAGCTCCCATCAGCCCTCTCTGGCTCAGTTACAACTTTGCAGCAGCTGTGGACCACCAATGGGAAACTGATGCCAACGGGGCCTCCAAAAGGCTCATCCCTAGAGCCAGACTGCCACCGAGCCAGTCTCCAACCACTGCTACAACGGTGGGAGGGTCGAGAGAAAGTACACCTGGCCTGGCCATGGAGCTTTCCTCTTCACACGGGCTACAGGCCTGGGACAGCTGCCAGCAATGGCTTTCCAGACAAGCCTGAGTAACTCGGCCTTTGTCTTAGTGTTTTACAAATCCAAATGGGCTTTACAGGGAAGATTGTGAGGTTAAGTAAGCTTTGGATCTGAGAGCCAGGCTGCAGCAGGCCTAGCCTCTGCTGCTTAAATGAGTTACCTGTCATGAAATAATGAAGGCTTGCTCTGAGGAGACCTGACTGGCCCTCCTCAGAGCTCTCTTACTTGTTTCTGCAGTGCTGGGGTCACTCTGCTGGGTTAGAGACTCACCCTGCGATCCTGAGGGTGGAGATGCTGAGCATGGATGGACTGGAGCTGTGTGCCAGCCGACATAGCAGCGACAAGTCACCCTGTAGATGGAGCGGGACCTTTGAAATGGAATGTGTGAAATGTATCAAAATACAATGATCAGGAATCAAAGAAGGGTTTGATCCACCTGACAGGCAAATTTCATTTGCAAACAAACACATACGTGGATTCCATGGTCTGCTCAAACAGCAAATGCGGCAGACTTCAGAAACCAACTACAGATTCTTATTCTAACATACATACATACATACATACATACATTTCATGCGTGCATCTCACAATGCCAGGCCTTATACTTTTTTTTTTGTTGTTGTTGATTTTTTTTTTTTTTTTTTGGTTTTTCGAGACAGGGTTTCTCTGTGTCCTGGAACTCACTCTGTAGACCAGGCTGGCCTCGAACTCAAGAAATCCACCTGCCTATGCCTCCCAAGTGCTGGGATTAAAGGCGTGCGCCACCACTGCCCGGCTAGACCTTATATATTAAAAAGGAGTCGGGCTGGGGATGTAGCCCAGTTGGTAGAGCCTTTGCCTGGCATGCTGGCAGCCCTGCCTGCAGTCCACAGTGCCAGACGAGTTGGCTATGGCGGTTCACACCTGTAATGTTAGCATTTAGGAGGTAGAGGCAAGAGGATCAGAAGTTGGTCAAGGTCGTTCACTGCAGAACAAGTGTGAAGGCAGGCTGAGCTATGTGAGACTGTATCTAAAAGAACAAACAGGGCCGCAGGTGAGGCTCAGCACATAAGAGCTGTGCAAGTCTGCCAGCCTGAGTTCAATCCCTGGAACGCACAGTAGACAAAGTTGTCTTCTGACTTCCATGCCTGCACCATGGTACTGGCATTCCAGTGCTCACGTGCCTGCACACACACACATACACACACTCACACACACTCACATACACATACAGGCATGCATACCCACACAGGCATGCATACCCACACAGGCATGCACACACACACACACACACACACATACACACAGAGGCACTCACATACACAGGCATGCATACCCACACAGGCATGTACACACACAAAGAGGCACTCATATACACACACAGGCATGCACACACACATACACAGAGGCACTCACATACACACACACAGGCATACACACACACATGTGGGCATGCATACACTCACACACACACACACACACCAATAATGATAGATGCTATCTCCTGCAAATGCTGTCTCCTATACATCTTGCCAACGGGTTCCACACAAAGACCACAGGCCGAGATGAGGTATCAGCATAAATACTTTACTGCAGACTCTAATACCATTCACTCATTAGTGGAAAATGAGAACAAGAGAAGCAGTTGTGTGACTTTCCCTGGAGAACATAAACTATGTCCATTCAGCCCAGGAAGGGCACCAATGACAGGCAAAGTCACGATTCCATCCAAGTCCAGCTTGGTGAACCTATTAGCTTATTGAGTTACTTACAGGAGGGGCCTAGGAGATGCAGAATCATCTGCATGCCCTAAAAGTCCCTCCCTGGCACAGGTAAGGACCCCCAAAATCTGCATCACTGGCATCCTGGCTTTAGTCAACCTCCATCTCTAACATCCTGTAGCATGCCTCAGGATTGTGTGCAGCTGGGGGCTAGGAGGGAGTAATCAAAATCCCAGGTGAGAGGACCCCCGGGGCTCCCCCTCCTTTCCTCCTACTACAGAGTCCTAACCGCTCAGGTACCATAACCATAGACATAGCTGGCGCTGCGGCACGTTGTTTGTTTTTGTTGCCTTGATTGGGGCCAAGGCACCACAGCAATGTCTGCCGCAGGATGAGCATGGGCAGCCAGGACGGGGGAGCACCAGAGAGGGAGTGGCACGGAGGATGGTACATGGGGACACAGGGGCAGACTTTGTGCCTGCCAGGGGCAAGTGTTGGTCCTCTAAGCTATCTGAGACAGAAAGGAAGGAACTGGGCGGGGTCAGGAAGTCCTCCTGTGAGCAGCCCACCCCAGGGCTCCAGCCCTTCCTGCCATTTCCTTGGTGCTGTGCTGTGAGAGGTGAGGCGGGAGAGAAGCTCTCCGGATGCCAGGCTTGTGGGTGCTGCTGGCAGAGCGCAGGGTCCCCAGGCACAGCTGTGGCTGAAGGAGGTCTCCGAGGAGACCCGCTCTTCATTGCAGCATCTTCAGACAGGCAGGGAGGAGGGAAGTCTTGGCCTTGGAAGGCTGTTCTTCCTCAGTGGCGTCCAGGAACTGCTGCATGTAACTGGAGGTGCCAAGCAGCATGTGGCCTGTGGCCTGCATGCTGAAGAGGGTCCAGCGGAGCATCTCCCTGGGAGACAGCAAAGGCGTTCAGATCAGACGTAAAGAATACTCCCGTTCCGTTTCCCCAAATATTTTCTCCATTTTTCTATGCTGGCTTAAAGCAAGTGACTTCAACTTAGCTTTCTTCTTTCCTTCTTTCTTTCTCTTTCTTTCTTTCTTTCTTTCTTTCTTTCTTTCTTTCTTTCTTTCTTTCTTTCTCTCTTTCACTTTCTTGCTCTCTCTCTCTTTCTTTCTTCTTTCCTTCCTTTCTTCCTTTTTCTTTTTCTTTCTTGAAATATAGTCTCACACTGTAGCTAAGGCTAGCTACAAACTCATTATGTAGCCCAGGCTGGCTTTGAACTCACAGTAATCCTCCTGCCTCAGCCTCCTAAGTGCTGTAACAACTATGTGCCATCACATAAACCTAACTTTTTGGGGTTTGTTTTGTTTTTTGATTTGACTTTTTTTGTTTTAAAGGTAAAATTTGGAAATATAGTTTAGTTAGCCTTAGAGTCAATAATCTTCCTGCCTTGGCCTCCTAAGTGCTAGGTTTACAGACATGCCTCACCATACAGGGCTCAAGTTAGCTTTCCCCTTCAGGAAGATCTAAGCATCATGGCAGCGGGATGATGGAAACACTTCCTAGTACAGACAGGAAGTGGGGCCAGGCTCACAGCTCTCCTCCCCCACACAGCCCCACTCCTCCTCATGTGCAAGCTTTTCAGGACCCCGCTTTTCCCTGTGCTTAACGTGAGTTCTCAAAACAAAGCCTTTTCTTTTTCTTTTCTCTTCTTTTTTGAGTCAAGGTTTATCAGTGTAGCCTTGGCTATCCCTCTATAGAACAGGCTGGCCTTGAACCCAAGGCAGGCTTTTTATTTTCTTGTATGTAACTTACTTACTTTCTTTTTTTTTTTTTTTTTTTTTTGTGGTGCTGGAGTTGAAACCCAAGGCTTTACTCAAGGAAAAGCAGCTAATCTGCCACAGAGCTATTTCCTGGGCCCTGTGTATTTTAAACCACTCTGGACTAGGCAAATTAACTTACACAACACATTCTGCCCTCTGTGACGTTATGTCCTAAACGTTGTAGTCTTTCCAGGTCACTTTTCAGAATATGCTAGCCATGAGTCGCCTATGCCGAATATTACCATATAGAAAGACTAGAACATGAACCAGGCAGGGCTGAGCACTAAGTCGGACTGGTTTGTGTGCCTGTTTTTTTGTTTGTTTGTTTGTTTGGTTTTTTTTTTTTTGGTTTTTCGAGACAGGGTTTCTCTGGGTAGCCCTGGCTGTCCTGGAACTCACTCTGTAGACCAGGCTGGCCTCGAACTCAGAAATCCACCTGCCTCTGCCTCCCAAGTGCTGGGATTAAAGGCATGAGCCATCACTGCCCGGTTTGTGTGTCTGTTTTAAAAATGATTTTATCTAAGGACTAGAGATGTAGCCAGTTTAGTAGAGTGCTTGCCTTTCATGCATTAAGCCCTGAGTTTGAACCCAACACCTCAATGACCCAGTGTGGTAATGCAGGGCTATAAACCTAGGGCTCCAACACTACTGAGGTAGAAGCAGGTGGGTCAGAAGTTCAAACTTATCCTTGGCTATCTAGCAAGAGTGAGGCCAGCCTGGGCTACATGGGACCCTGTCTCACGGGCAGGGGGCGGGGGAGCTTTAAACTGCTCTGGTTCTGAGCCCAGCTTCTTGACATGTAAACATGAGTTATGAGTTTGAGATCAGCATGTGGCCTGCTGTATAGAAGATAGGAAGTGTGGGTGAGAGCCGCTGTCTGAACACAAGTTCTTCCACAGCTGTTTCCACGGCGGGGCGAGGGCCACTGGAGGTACCTGGTCTGAAGAGCAATAAGGAAGAGAAAACACAGGAAGAATAAATACTCCTGTCTAGTGTTAAGTTTGTCTTCTCAGGGCCATCAAGAGGGCTCTGTGAGTAAGGTGATGTGGCTGCCAACCACAGAGATCCGAGTTCTACCTCCGGGACCTTCATGGTGGAAAAAGAGGACCGCCCCCCAAAAGCTGACCTCTCAGACATGTGGAAGCTCTGAGCCACTGAGCTCAGATACACACACACACACACACACACACACACACAAATAAATAAATACAATTAATAAAATTAATATTTTTTTTTAGAGAAAAAGAGATTACCTGTCTTATGCCATGGCAGGCATGTACTCATACACATACATATATAGCCATTAAATAAATGTTTTTAAATTTATTTCTATTAACCTTCACTCACTATGTGGGTTTATATTCTTGGTTGGGTTCAAGAAGTGTAGAAATACACTTAAAGCAGCTCACATAAAACATTTTAGGGACTGCAGTGTTGGTTTGATGTTAAAAGCATGAACTGCTACTGCAGAGGATTCAAGTTAGGTTCCCAGCACCCGTGACTCGAGGTTCACAGCCACCAGTAGCACCAGCTCCAGGGCCCCAGACACCTGTGGTCTCGGTATGTGTCTGTATTCTCTCACACACTCTTTTATAGACACATAAACATATCAAAACTAAAATATTTCCTGGGCAGTGGCAGTGCATGCCTTTAATCCTAGCACTCGGGAGGTAGAGACAGGCAGATCCCTGAGTTCAAGCCCAGCCTGGTTTACAGAGTGAGTTTCAGGATATCCGGGGCTATACAGAGAAACCCTGTCTTGAGAAAGAAAAAAAAAGATATAAATACTGAAAATATATATTAGGGCTAGAAGTATAATTTAGTGGGATCATGCTTGTCTGGCATATATAAAACCCTGGGTTTAATCCCCAGCATTGAGGTATACGTGTGTTCATGAATGTATGTGTGTGTCTTTTTGCAGTACTGGGGAACTGGACACAGAGTCTTAGGGACTCGCTCTACCACTGAACTATAGTCTCAGCTTTCTTCTTACTTTCTTATTTTGAAACAACATCTCTCTAAGTTGCCCAGGTTAGCCTTGAACTCACTCTATAGCCTGGGCAAACCTCTAACTTGCTATCCTCCTGACTCACCCTCCTGAGTTGCTGGCATTATAGGCTTGTGCCCCAAGGTCTGACTGACTTTACATATATTTTAATGCAGTGCCTTCGAAGTTATTTCTCAAACTGGAGAACTGGGACTTTGAATATAGCCAGCCAGTCTTTAAAAGGAGTGAAAAGCTGGCATATTCTACAAAGGCGTGAACCTTGGAAACAGAATTCTTGTGGGAAAAGCCAGTCATGAAAAGACAAACACTGTTTGTTCCTGTATCTATGAGGTATCTAGGCTAGAACAACAGAGGAACAGTAGGTAGAATAAAGGTTAGCAAGGTCTCGGGAGAGCATTCAGGACTATTATTTACTGTGCACAGCTTCTGCTGCCTGGTGCCAAGGTTCTGGAAAGGAAGACAAGGCTTGCACAAATGCTCAGTTACTTCATGCTTCTGGGTAAGACACTTAAAGCGGTCACAACAGAAAATTTTAGGATACGCAGATTTTCACAATTTTTTTTTTTTTGAGATGAGTTCTCACTGTGTAGTCCTAGCTGACCTGGAATTTGATTTATAGACCAGGCTAGTCTAAAACTCAAAGAAATTCACTTGACTCTGCCTCCTGAATGCTGGGATTAAAGGTGTGCACTGCACCACTTATCCCTTAGCAGTTTTATTTTAATCACTTTAATACCACTAAGCTGACCACAGATCTACGGTGTCTTTTGTGTGCATCTGAGTGCAGTGCCCAAAGAGGCCGGAAGAGGGCCACAGATCCCCTAGAGCTGCAGAAACGTTGGTTATGAGCTGTTGTGAGCTGGCTGACATGAGTGCTGGGTGCTATCTCTTAATGGCTGAGCCATCTCTCCATTGGTGTTTTGTTTTGTGGTGGTTTGTTTTGGTTTGTTTTGGTTTGTTTTATTTTGTTTTGTTTTGTTTTGTTTTGGTTTGGTTTGGTTTTGAGGCAAAGTCTCTGACCCAGGCTTCCCTTGAACTTCTGATCTTCTACTTTCAAAGTACTGGGATTATAGTTACATTTTCACTTTTAAAAATGATTAGCTGTGGAAATAGCTCAGGATATGAGTGCATGGTTAGTACACGTGAGGCCCTGGGCTCTACCCTCAGCACACACAAGAGAGTTCCTCAGTCAGCTACTATGGAAAAATTACTTTTGCTGGAGTGGGGTGGGGGATGAGGGAGTGGGAGGAATGTACTAGAAAGAAAAAAACTTAAAAAAACCTTAAAACCTTAAAACTGCGTCCCCTCCACACACACCCTAATGCAAATCAAGTCAGTTAGCTCCCTGCATAGAAGAGGCTGTTATTCTTTGTTAGCCCCAGTGTCAACCCAGCCCCTGAGAGAGTTTTGTTTGGGGCAGACAGATTGGGCTTCTTGTTTTAGCATTTCTGCCACCCGGTCCCTGTCTGTCCTAATCCACTCACTTCACGATGCGCTTGGCCCTGTAGCAGTGCAGGTCGTAGGAAAGCGAGTATGTGTCATAGAGGGTTGCTTTCACGTTCAGGCAGCCGATGAAGTCCTGAGGGTTCAGCTTGTACAGGTCGAAGGTTACCCTGGCCACGTCGATCTTCTTTGCTGGCTTCTGGGAAACGGCTATCTGGGTTCTCTTCTTGCGCTGCAAGACAAGCTCATGTAAGCTCGCCTCCGGAACCCCTCCCAAGCTCTCCACATTCACCCCTGCCCCAGGAGGCCGTCACCTGTTCTGATGGGGGCTTCCACTTCTGCCCCTTCTGCAGGACCATGAACACGGTATCTCTTGCTAGGGCTTGGAAGTATTCTTCTGTCTCCACGATCGTGCCGTCTTCCTCCAGTACCAGGGAGAAGGGCTTGTCTTTAAGCTTCAAGATGTCCTGGACCTGGAAAAGGGTTAGTGACATTTCTGCCATCCCTATGGAGCCACCGTGCTGAGGGGCAAAAACTTATGCCAAAGCACCCAGCTGCCCAAGAAAGATCGAGGGAGCTGGGTCTTACTAAGTTGCTTAGGTTGGCTTGGAACTCACCATGTAGCACCGGCAGGTACTGCAATCTGTTTCTCTCTTCCTGCCTCAGCCTCTCATGTAACTTGAATTACAGGCCTGTACTACCAGACAAGTTAAACTCTGATGTTGTTGTTCATTTCGTTTTGCTTTTAAGATTATGTAGCCATGGCTATCCTGGAACTTGCTATGTGGACCAAGTTGGCCTTGAACTCACAAAGATCCAGCTGCCTCTGTCTCTCAAGTGTTTGGAATTAAAGGCTGTGTGCCACCATATCTCACCAGCATTTAACATTTTTATTTTTAATTATGTGTATACAAATGTATATGGGTGGGTTTGTTCGTCTGTATCACATGGCCTGAAGCTAGAGTTACAGGTCACTGTAAGCTGCCCAGTGTGGGTGCTGGGAACTGAACCTGGGTCCCTTACATGAGCAGTGCATGCCCTTAACCACTGAGTACTAACATGTCCGGCCCCAAACTGCACTATTTAAAAGAATACAGTTTGGCCAAGTATGATGGATGGTATCCATACATAATCTCAAAGGCAGAGACAGGGGGATTTCAGCAAGCTCAAGGCTAGTTGGTCTGTCCATGAAGATGAATGCCAACCACTACTGCATAGCAAGACCCTGCTTCTAGAAAAAAAAAAAGGGGGTGAGGGAGTGGAGAAGAAAGAAAGAAAGAGAGAAAATGTTTCCAATTCAATGTTGACTTGAACTCTCCCTCTGGCTGGGTCTAGGGGAATTTAAATACCAATAAACAATCTGTTATTATCATTTTATCCCATTAAAATAGGAATGTCTAGATCTCTTTTGGTATAAATAAAGTAGTGAATTTAAAGTATGAGGCAGAATTGTATATCTGCTTGATAATTAACACATTTTAGAAAACAGTTAATACTAAAAAAGAAAAATTAAAGTTAAAAGAATGATTAAGGGGCTGGAGAGATGGCTCAGTGGTTAAGAGCACTGTCTGCTCTTCCAGAGGTCCTGAGTTCGATTCTCAGCAACCACATGGTGGCGCACAACCATCTGTAATGGGATCCGACAGCATACAGGCGTATATGTAGATAGAGCACCCGTGTATACAATAAAAAAATAAAATCTTTAGGGCTGGAGAGATGGCTCAGTGCTTAAGAGCACTGACTGCTCTGCCAGAGGTCCTGAGTTCAATTCCCAGCAACCACATGGTGGCTCAGAACCATCAGTAATGTGATTCCATGCACTCTTCTAGTGTGTGTCTGAAGATAGCTTACAGTGTATATTCATACAAATAAAAAATAAATAAATCTTTAAAAAAATAAAATCTTAAAAAAAATAGAAGAATGGTTAAGAGACTGAGAAAAATAACACTACACAGAGAAGCCAAACTGTACTATTCCAATGATCAGATTAAATAAAACAAGACAAATTTAAAAAATGGTATATATGCTTGTAAATATCATTCTCTTCTCATCTCCTTTCTTTCTGTGTTTGTGAGGTGAGGAATTGAACTGAGGTTTTCTTTAGGAAAAGTATTCTCCCTACTGAGCTACATCCTCAGGTATCAACTTAAAAATATTTTTTAAAGATTTATTTTCTATGTCACCACATGTATGGATGGGGTGACCTTGGAGGCCAGATGAGGGTGTCAGATCCCCTGAAACTAGGCCATGTCGTGGGTGGGAACTGAACCTGTGTCCTATGAAAGAGCAGCCCTTGCTTTTAACCACTGAGCCATCTCTCTACCCCCAACAACTTACTTGTAGCCAGGTGGTGGTAGCGCACGCCTTTAATCCCAGCACTTGGGAGGCAGAGGCAGAGGCAGGCGGATTTCTGAGTTCAAGGCCAGCCTGGTCTACAGAGTGACTTCCAGGACAGCCAGGACTACACAGAGGAACCCTGTCTCGAAAAAACAAAACAAAACAAAACAAAACAAAACAAAAAAACAACTTACTTGTAATCTTGTTTCTGCCAAAGCTATAGGGCATGAATGGGGGAAACAGGCCATTCAACACTGAGGGGCAGGAAATAAAATAACTGCCTTGCCATCTTTAAAAGCTAGCTAGATGGCTCAGCAGGGAAGGGTGCGTGCAGTGCCAACTTTAACATTTGAGTTCAATGCCTGGAGCCTGGAGCCCACATTGAAAGGAGAGAACTGATCAGTTGCTCTCTGATCTTCACATGTACCCTACGTCACAGGCATGCGCTATTCACGCTTGACCATACACATACGTGCACTAATGGTTTTAAATATAAAACTGTCCAGACTTTATATTTGGGGGACAATTGGCAATGCTGCAGTGAGGTCTCGAGATGAGCTTTGCTGATGTTACATTGCTTCCTCATTTGAGGGCTGCTGAGCATGCAGGAGAATATCATCTTGTATAGACGAGGGAAGTATCCAAAAGTCACGGCAGTGGGTCGGCTATTTATTTTCTAATGATCTAACAGACACTTGGTTTTTTTGAGACAGGGTTTCTCTGTGTAGTCCTGGCTGTCCTGGATCTCACTCTGTAGACCAGGCTGGCCTCGAACTCAGAAATCCACCTGCCTCTGCCTCCCAAGTGCTGGGATCAAAGGCGTGCGCCACCACCACCCATCTACTTTGTATGCTTCTTACAGATTTTGTTAGTTTGATTTGCTTCATATTAGTTTTAAAAAATCCTTCACAGCTCATTCTCTCTGTCTTTGTCTCTCTCTGTGGTGTGTGTGTGTGTGTGTGTGTGTGTGTGTGTGTGTGTGTGTGTGTG